GGAGGTGCTCTCCACATTCTGGAGGCACTTCAGCAGGTGCTTCATGCTCGATGTCTACTCCTGCCCATGCTGAACCATGAAGTGTGGGAACAAGGTTTGCTTGGATCAGCACTGGGAGGAGCATGAGACAAGCTTCAGCAGTGTGGGGTCAAGTCAGAAGGCTTTCCCATGGGCTTCTTGGTAGCTGCTGAGAGCAAACCCAAGCTGTGTCTGCTCTGCAGTAGTCATGGCATGGGGAGCTTTATCTCTGTTGCAAGGCTTCTGGGGGGCTGCATACTGAGGGGGAAATCCTGAGGTTACCTGCTTGCTGTGATGCAGTGTTTCTGTCTTGTGACAAAAGAGGGTTTGGTTAGCGGTGGCCTCCCAATTCTTGGGAATTGGAAGCTGGAACTCCCAGAGATCATCTGTTCATTAGCTTAAATGCTGTTGGTGTGACAGGCATGGGCAGGGACACCTTCCATTAGAGCAGGTTGCTCCAAGCCCGTGTGTCCAACCTGGCCTTGAACACTGCCAGGGCTGGGGCAGCCACAGCTTCTCTGGCCACCCTGTGCCAGCACCTCAGCACCCTCTCTCTAGATCACTTCAGCTGGAGCAACCCTGGAGCTGTTCTGGGGCAGGGGATAAAATTGGGCTGATGCTGAGGTGCTGGGTTGAGGCCATTTTTGCTTTCGGTGGCTTGGAGATTGTGGGATATGTAACACCTTGGGAATACTGGGATCTCCTATGTTCTGCTGTCAGTGAAAGCAAACCTGACAGACCCTAGGGCTTGATGAAGATTGCTGTGACTTAATAACTGTTTTGAATCCTGAAGAGGTAACTGAGGCATGTGCCAAATGTATCACCTGGGTTTAAGATGCACCTTTGCTTCCTGGGCTATTAATTTTGTGGTTTCAGGAAACTCGCCAATGTGATCTTTATGGTCATGAGCAGGAGTGATGACCAGAGTGCCACCAGCAGCTCTTTTAGTGCTAACATGGTTACTTTTGACATGAAATGAACTCAAGTGTTCTGTTTTTCAGGAGTTGAATGATCTGGCACGTGATCCTCCAGCACAGT